TAAAAAGAGTGGCACCCTCTGCCGCCACCCATCCCGGTCTCTCTGGCTCGAGCAGAGGACCGCCGGCTGGCGCTCTGGGAGATCTGAGGGTTACAATAAGTGCTTCTCCGCCGGGCACCGCCCCACGGACCTCTTATTCCTCATGCAGCGAGAGTGCCGTTCGGTTGCCGGGTGATTCTGCTGGCCCGTCTCGTGCGGCTACCAGCGTTTCACTCGGAAGATCAGATGTCGATAGCAGCATCGGGGGATGGGCTATCGTCCTCTGAGGATGAAGATTCGGCGGGGCTGCCCCCCTCGGGTGTTGTCGCCACCTTCGGCGGGGCTGCCTCACTCGGGTGTTGTCGCCACCGCCGAATCGGACCCAGAGCTGATGGCCATGCTTGCCCAGGCAGCTGTGAGTATTGGGCTGGAGGTCAACAGACCGCCCAGTCCCGAGCCCTCGCGGCTGGATGATTGGTTTCTCGGAGCGGGACGTGGCTCACAACCACGCTCTGCTCCGGTGCCTTTTTTCCCAGAAGTGCATGAGGAGCTGACGAAGTCGTGGATGGCCCCTTTTACGGCCAGAAGCCGCTCGTCTCCCTCCTCCATCCTCACTACCCTCGATGGCGGGGCCAGGGGGTACGTTGACATTCCCCAGGTGGAGAGAGCGGTTGCGGTGCACCTGTGCCCGCAAAACGCCGCCACTTGGAGGAATCGTCTGCGTCTCCCGTCCAAAGCCTGTAAGCTGACAGCTGCTCTTACGGCCAAGGCTTACAGTGCTGCGGGCCAGGCTGCCTCTGCCTTGCATGCTATGGCCATCCTGCAAGTTCACCAGGCCAAGGCACTCAAACAAATGCACGAGGATAATTCCGACCCAAGGTTGATGCAGGAGCTGCGTTCGGCGACTGACTTCACCATACAGGCGACGAAAGTCACGGCGCGGTCCCTCGGGAAGGCGATGTCCACTATGGTGGTCCAAGAGCGCCATCTCTGGCTCAACCTGGCAGAGATGAGAGATGTCGACAAAGTACGCTTTCTCAACGCTCCTGTTTCCCAGGCTGGGCTGTTCGGCGACACTGTCGAGGACTTTGCCCAGCAGTTCTCGGCAGTACAGAAGCAGACTGAGGCCATCCAGAACATCCTGTCCCGCCGTGATCCTCCAGCGGCCACCATTCCGTCGTGCTTCAGCCTGCTCGTCGCCGTGGGCGCCCTCCTGCGTCCTCCAGAGCCGCTCCGCCCCGTGCTGAAACAACATCAGGGCCAGCGCGTCGAGCCTCTTGCAGGAGTGCCTCTCGCCCCCCGTGTCCCAGCTGGCCACTAAGTCGTCCAGGAAGTCGATGAAGCGGCCCTGACACGGGCAACCCGGAGATGTGGGGAGCTGCTCTTTCTCAGGAGACGGCAGAGACCGCACCGCTCCTTCCCCCGGAGGAGGGCCGGGTGGAGAATCTTCAGTTTCTGTTTGTTTCTGTTCCGCCGCTGGCTCAAGGGCCAGCGGTACCCACATTCTCAAAGAAAGAGCAGTTTCCTTTTCCTCCGGGTTCTCAGGCCCATGGACTGACAGTGAGCGACGCACCACTTCCTCACTCTCGCCCACTAGGCCC